TTTGGTGGCCGCCGGTGAGGTGTTGGAGGATTGAGCGGAGCATGGTGGTGGTGGGTTTTGGTGGCCGCCGGTGAGGTGTTGGAGGATTGAGCGGAGCGTGGTGGTGGTGGGCTTGGTGGCCGCCGGTGAGTGGGAGAAGAGAAATTTTAAATGGTAAATATGTGTAGAAGTGAATTTAACAAAATAACCATTTAACTATTTTATTATAACCATATTACTTGTATAAAATACCAAGTAAAAAGTACACGAATTAGAAAATGACATATATGCTACAAAAAATTCTCAACAAATGAAAAGATGACATGTGTACTTAAAAATTATCGATAGTTTAATTAACTGACATGTGTCTTTTGAAAAAAAATTCCTTTAATATATAGTAAGATATATAATAAATTAGAAAATATTTCATAGGAAACGGGGAATTATATAAAGTTTTATAATACCTTCATCAATTCGCCATAGTCTATCTTGAGGTTGAATCCAATTCTTGTGAACTAGCTAGCTACTTATTTAACCCTACATTCATTTCAGACCAGTTGATAAACTATGGTACCTCTGCATGCACCAGGACGACTCCGTCGCTTTCATATCTTCTAATTTGTTTACTTCTTACTTCAAGGAAAAAGATAACTTTGAATAAGATTAGTTTGAACTTCATAGCTAGCCCTATGAATGCATGAATACGTAGCAAAATCGACATTTCATTGACGACATCGATCACAAAGTTATACAAGACTAAATCTTACTAAAAAATAATTACAATCAAATCTAGATTCAATGAATGGGTTGATCTTTGTTTTTCGGGTTCCAACTTCGGTTTGGCTTATGTTTGAAGTCCAAAGTTGAATGAACTCTTTATCAATTAATCCTAATTAAACTTTAACATACGATGCATGTATTATCACAACAAATAAAATTACTCATTCCACAACAATAATCCGTATCCTAATTTGTAAATGATTCATAGATGCGTAATAGCTGTAAATACTTCGGTTATATAATTGCAATAATTTTATCCTAAGTTTGCGTGAAATTAGTTGCCGCGAGGTTCTCAAGGAAAAAATGTCGTTTCTATTCAAATTTTTGCCCTCGTCATCAATCATACCCAATAGATTTTCAATTAGCCAACTTTACCCTAATGTTTGAAATTTTCGCCAATTTTGTCCAATCGGCCCATTTTCCATCCAAATTAATGGATCTCCGCTAGTTTTTTAATAAAATAATAAATTTAAATACAAAAACACTCCAGTATTTTGTAAAAATTTTAAAAATAACCCCTAAAATATATAAAAATAACAAAATAGTCTCTTTTAACTTTTTTATTTCATTTTTCTCTATTTTGTTCTATTTCTCTCAACTATTTTTAATGATTATAAAAGTATATTATATGAGTTTTAAAAAAATATTTATTTATTTTCAAACTCTACCGTAAAAGTTAATCTTTGTATAGTTGTAACACATGATTGTATTTATATAAGCATGTTAATTTTTTTAATAATATAGTTTAGCAATAAAGATACTATTTTTCTGATTTATTGTATTCTTCCTAACATAAAAATTAAAAATATTTAAATGAAGCTAATATTCCACATAAAAAATAAAATATTAGCTCAAATAAAAAATATTATATTAGTATAGTTTAGTGTATTACAATTTAACTAGAGAGACTACATGGCATAATATAAATTATAAAAAATATGTTTATACTTATCAATGCGAGGATTTAACATTTTATAATAATTATTTGAGATGTTAATATATCTAACTATAGAGGAAGTCTTACTAGCTTATTCTATATGATTTTAGTTTAAAATAAATGAATGGAGGTAACAATATGGTAATAAGTTGTTGTGATAGAAAATAGATTTTAGATTCAAGAAGGAAAACTTATGTTTGGAGGAATTTTTTAAGATTTTAATTATTTTATATTTTAGTTATTTTTTTATGAATTATATTAATGCAAGTTATAGTCTCTTGAGTTAAATTGTGATACACTAAAATATATTAATATTTTTGAGCTAATATTTTATCTTTATTTGGAATATTAGTTTCATTTAAATGTTTTTAATCTTTATGTTAGGAAGAATAAAATAAATCAAAAAAATAGTGTCTTTATTGCTAAACTATATTATTAAAAAAATTAACATGCTTATATAAATACAATCATGAGTTACAACTATACAAATATTAATTTTTATGGTAGAGTTTGAAAATAAATAAATATTTTTTTAAAACTCATATAACAGATTGTTATGGTCATTAAAAGTAGTTGAGAGAAATGGAACAAAATAGAGAAAAATAAAATAAAAAAAAAGTTAAAAGGGACTGTTTTGTTATTTTATATATTTTAGGGGTTATTTTTAAAATTTAAAAAAATTACTGGAGTGTTTTTGTAATTAAATTTATTATTTCATTAAAAAACTAACGTAGATCCGTTAATTTGGACGGAAAATGGGCCAATTGGATGAAATTGGCGAAAATTTCAAACATTAGGATAAAGTTGGCTAACAAAAAATCTATTGGGTATGATTGACGACGAGGGCAAAGTTTTGGATAAAAACGACATTTTTCCGGTTCTCAGAAGTTATTCAAGGTTAACACTACGAATGATTAGTTCAGTAAGAAAATACTGAAGCTTGGTAGTACTCAAAATTAGTGTAACACACATCTATAATAGTGCGCACTACAACAATATCCCCCTAATATGACACATATATTGGGACACTTTCAACAAAAATGTCCCAAAAAAAATTATTGAGACACTCACTTAAAAGTGTCCTATTATTATCATCTAAGAGGACATATTTATGTGTCTTTATTAAAATGCGTCCCAATATAGGTTAGGACATATAATAACGTCCCATTATTAATTATATTGGACACTTTGAAGCGTCCTTTTTGTCTGGCTATTCTAGTTGAAGTTCTTTCGTCTATATTGTCACTTTTAGTTATTAATAATTCCTTTGTGAGACCCTAAAATTTATGAATATGCCCACAAGAGATTTGTTTTTTCATTATTAACCCTTTCCTCAATTTAAAAATTGTTAATATGGCACCCTAATATTTATCTTTTTGTCCAATAAATTTTAAAGCAACTCGTACAACAATAATGACTTCTCTAATTACGTACGAACAATGTTGATAAATAACATTTCTAAATTGTAAGAAAAAATTACAACATTCCACAAATATTAAAATATTACAATAATATATGTGATACTGATGAATAAGGTTACAACGTGTTCATTTTTTCAACAGTGTGTAACATAATACACATGAATAACATATTACTTTTTATATATATCAATTCCTACGGATTAGAGTTTCACTTGTATAGTCGTTGAGTATGAGATCGGATTCCGATTGATAGTCAATAAACAGTTTCAATTAGAAAGTTTACATATGCAACGAATTGATCACTAATAATAGATACTAGTTGTGCGCCTCTTGATAGCCTCATATACACTATAGGCAATGATTTAATGCCAAGTGCAAACTAATTCCTATGGAGTACTTCACATGATACTTATAATAAGATATTTTAATTTATCATAAATTTCATTTATCGTTTTTACAATTGAAATTAAAATTTGTAACAATTAAAAATTACTTATAATAAGGACACGGGAAAGTACTACTAATATAAAATTTGCCCAAATGAGAAAATCAATGGGAGCAAAGAGCTGAAAAAATTAACTTATAATCTTTTTGCACGATTACATGAGATTTTTTTTGTTATCTTTATTCTATCTAGGGAGACAAAAAAAAATTTATACAAGGAAGTATTATAAGTCCTAAAAGAGATTTGACCTATAAATTATATATACACACTATAAAAATAAATAAATAAGTAACATAAAAACATTGATCCCTAAAAAAATGATATTGAAAAATTAATGACAATTTGACAAAATAAATTTAGAAAAAGCAAAATGATATTTTGACTTACATAAATTTGATGGATTTTATATCCTTTCTTATCAGGATAAAATATGGGTTTTTTTTAATTGAAATTAGAAAAAAAAAATAAAAACAAGAAAAGCACAATTAGCCATCAAAATGGCGCGATAACGAAACCTTAGCCAAAAAAAAAAAAAGTCGCCAAGAAAAGTCTCGAATTGGCGCCCTCGATGTTATCGCTTAAAGAACTAAAATAATTAGTTGACCTCAACTTCACTTCCTCACTGGGGCATATCATCTCAGATTTATGGCTTGATTTCTTGTAGGAATACCTCGGTTTGGAAGAGTTTATTCAATATTTAGCCATTTCTTGGGCTGGCCAAACCCAAGTAAGTTCTTTTTCTCCAATTGTTGAATAATACACTGGTTGATGTATTCTAGAGCATTTTTTTTTTCTGATAGGATGAAGATTTACTACTGAACCAGGGAAAAAAAAATGTATCGAAGAGGATTAATTAGAAACTGTATTACAAACCAGAAATAAAGGAAAGGATAGATAGAGGGGATAAAAAAGGCAGGACATTCGCTTAGCATCAATTTCTTTTTTAAATCAGACTAAGATGGATAGCAAAACTACATCCAAAAATGATTTGAAAGAAAAATTTAAGCCAAAACTGATTTCGTGGTAAAGAAAAGCCTGGCATCACATATTTCTTCCTCTAGCCGCCAGCGAAACCACAGGTCCGGAGGGTCACCAGGCACCGATCGAGCTAGTTCCGGCAAAGGCCCAAGTAGAGGCATATGCTATACTCCAGTTCGAGATCCTCTATTGGGTAGGGTGGAAGACCCATCTTGTAGTGAACCCAATTCGGTAGTTCGTCTCTATCGTGTTCTTAGCCTTAAAAGATTTTTGTTTTTGGGAAAAAAGATTAGGGATTATGTTCGTGACAGCAGTAGGTGAAATAAAGTGAGATAAATAGGCTATAACGCGGGCTCTACTGCCCTTAGTTTATCTTATTGTTTCCTAAAGGGATTCCAAAGTTAAAGATGTGAATCCGTAGCCCTATTTGAAAAAAAAAATTGACTCTTTGTTTGCAGCAATGGCTCCTAAATCCCGAAGGTCTGTCACAAAAGGGGGATTTAATCATGGATTAAGAGATGATGAAATTGAAGAGCTTGAGCACCAGCCACCAAAGAATTTGCACAATGAAGTACCTCAACAACAAAATAAGGAGCAAGGTTAGAAATTTTATAGGTGGAAAGTACACAGTATCACATGAAACCTCTCTTCCTACATTTTTGTTTGTATTTTCTAATCTACTGCATAAATAGAGGATTAGTACTTTACATATGTTTGCTATATATGTAAAATATATTAGATAATAATTGACTACACCTTTTCTATACATGTAGGGATGGTTACAAGGACAAGGAAATCAATGCAATTTCGAGGGAAACTTCATGGACAGCAAAATTCACCAAACAATGATCAATCATTCCATCAATCAACAGAAACACAACCAAACCTAGAAAATTGTCAACAACTTGAGAAACAAGGTCATCCTATAGTTATGGTTTTCTTTCACTTCTATGTGTTATTCTTTATTATTTAAGTTTTGTTCTGTCATGAAAAAATATTTAATTTTTGAATCAAACATTTATTTCAGGGAAAGCAAGAGGTGTCCGAGGGCCTACAATGCTGAAATCGATGTGGGTGACAGTCCCTGGTGAAAAGACGATCAAGATAGATATGAACGCAAAAGGTCAACCAATTGGTCCCAATAAGAAAACTTTTGTTGAGTTTTTGGGTACAATAGCAAGAACTCCAAAGTTCACTCCACTTGAGGTTAAGGATTGGCGCAAGGTTTCAGAAGTTAGAAAGAAAGAAATAATAGGCATTGTGAAGGTATTATAGTTGTTTCATCTTTCCTAGGATCGTTTGGTTTTTGTTAAAACAAAGATTGTAGTTGTAGTTATATTTTAACATGTTTGTAGGCTAAATATGATATTCCCCCTGGTGGAGAACATTGGATTTTGAGATCACTAGGCAAAAAGAGGAGGAGTTGGAAGAATAGGGTGAAGACACAATGTTTTGATCCTACATTAACAACTAAGGACAATGCACCCAAAAGACCAGCACGAGTTGGGGAAGACCAGTGGAAGCACCTGCTTCCTTATTGGGCTGAGGAAAAAACAAAGGTACAAAGCATGCTTCTGATTATTGGTTTCGAACTTGTTTTCATCTTTTTGGTCATATGGTAAATCATTAAGATAAGCCATGTTCTGGAATGAATATATTTAGGAACGTGCACAGAAAAATAAAGAAACCAGGAGAAATCTGAATATGCACCCCACTACGGGGAAGCGCAGCTTTGCAGAAGTTGAAGAAGATTTTGAATGAAGCTTTTCCAGATGGTGTAAAATTGCCTAAATCTTATTATGAGGCAAGGAAAATAATTGGACAATTGGGGCTTAATTACAAGAAATATGATGCATGTCCAAATGATTGCACACTGTATTGGGGTGAAGATGAGGGTCTAACGAGTTGCAAGACATGTGGTGAAACAAGATGGGCTGTTTCTGATGGAGATCCAGAGGGAAAGAAGAGAAAGATTGCACATAAGGTTTTGTGGCACTTCCCTTTGAAGGATAGATTACAACGTCTATTCATGTCCTCAAAAACTGCAAGTTTCATGACATGGCATGAAAAAAGCCGAAATAAAGATGGTCATTTGAGGCATCCGGCAGACTCTTTAGCTTGGAAGTATTTTGATTATAAAAATTCAGATTTTGCTACAGAGCCACGAAATGTCAGGCTAGGTTTGGCGTCAGATGGTTTTAATCCTTTCAAGACTATGAGTTCTGTGTATAGTACTTGGCCGGTTTTATTGGTTCCTTATAATTTGCCTCCATGGATGTGCATGAAACAACCGTATATAATGATGTCATTGCTCATACCTGGTCCATCTGCTCCGTTGAATAACATTGATGTTTATTTGAAGCCATTAGTAGCAGAGTTAAAGGAATTATGGGATGTTGGTCTTGATACATTTGATGCATCATGCAATCAGAACTTCAAGATGCGAGCATCAGTATTATGGAGTATTAGTGATTTTCCTGGCTATGCTAATTTGTCTGGATGGAGCACTAAAGGAGAGTTTGCATGTCCCGTATGTAACAAAGATACTGGATCAAAATGGCTAAGAAATAGTAGAAAACATTGTTACATGGGCCATCATCATTTTCTAGAAAAAGATCACCCATTCTGAAAAGAGGCAAAGTCATTTGATGGAAAGAAAGAATTTAGAAATCCACCTCTTAGGCAGAAAGGTTCTAGCATCTTGGCTGATTTGGATGGAGTTGAAATCAAGTTTGGTAAAAACATAGATGACAATCCAAATTTGCCATATGGTTGGAAAAAGAAGAGTATTTTCTTTGACTTGCCCTATTGGAAAGATCATTTGCTTCCTCACAATCTTGATGTTATGCACATTACAAAAAATGTTTGTGAGAGTATTATGGGGACACTGTTGAATTTGGATAGAAAAAAGCAAGCATCATTTAAAGGGGCGACAGGATTTAAAAGAGTTGGGCATTCGGCAAGAGCTTCATCCAATTGAAGTGGAAGAGGGTTCAAATAAATTTTACGTTCCTCATGCATGCTTTACCATGGAGAAAAAGGAGAAGGAGCTATTTTGTAAGACTTTAAAAGATGTTAAAGTTCCTGATGGTTATGCATCAAATATATAGAGATGCGTGCAAACAAAGCCTCCAAAAGTCTTGGGCCTTAAAAGTCATGACTATCAAATTTTGATGAATCAACTCATGCCAATAGCACTAAGAAAAACTTTGTCCAAGGCAGTGCGTGGTCCTTTGATAAAGTTGAGTAAATATTATAGAGAATTGTGCTCTAAAGTTATCAATCCAGAATATACATTCAAGATGGAGAAAGACATTAGCTTAATATTGTGTCAATTAGAGAAATTGTTTCCTCCATCATTCTTTGACGTCATGGTTCACCTAAGTGTACATTTGGCTGCCGAAGCGAGAATTGGTGGACCTGTTCATTATCGGTGGATGTATCCTATTGAGAGGTACTAAACTAAATAATTAATATTGTCAATATTTTATTTATTTACTTTTATAAATACATGTTTACTGAACCTAATTTTTTCCTTGTGTAATTACTAAGGTACTTGTGCACATTGAAGTCATATGTTCGAAATAGAAGCCGACCAGAAGGATCTATAGCAGAAGGATATCTAGCAGATGAATGTTTGGCTTTTTGTTCATTGTATTTTGCTGAAGGCGTCGAAAATAGATTCAATCGTAGGAATAGAAATGATGATGGCATTTCTGTTGATGATACGAATTTAAATATTTTCTCAAATCCGGGTCGTCCACTAGGAAAAGGGGATGCAAAAGTGTTGGATCCCGATACACTTCGTAAAGCACACCAGTATGTGCTTTTCAATTGCAGTCAGCTCAAGGAATTAATTCAGTAAGTAACACTTCTTTTCTCCTCACATTTTTAAAGTTTATATAAATGTGATAGAGGTTTAAATACAAGTTTATTTTCAGGGAACATTATGAGATTGTAAAGAGAACAAATCCTCATTTTACAAAGCATGAAGTTGAACAAACTCATAGTGAAAGTTTCGCATCTTGGTTTGCTGAAAAGGTAAATGACAAAAAAACTATTTTTAATTCTGCAATATACCCTTTTTCTTGATCATCTTCTTTTTCTGTTTATATATGAATATACAGACTCACTCATTCGATGATAATGATCCCATGTTGGCTGAACTGAAAGTATTGTCAAGAGGACCGAATTCTATTGGAAAATGTTATAAGCGTATTTTAGTAAATGGTCTTAGGTTTCACACAAAAGAGTTGGAAGCAAAAAGGAAATCTCAAAATAGTGCAGCAACATCTAGTTTCTCAAGTACTAAGGACCAAAATCCTACAGTAGTAGATGTTGCATATTATGGGGTATTAAAGAACATACTAGAATTGAATTATTCTAGTCACAAGAAAGTTATCTTGTTTGATTGTGATTGGGTATCCTCAGGGAAAAAAGTGAAGCAAGATGAAGATGGTTTCACGTTGGTAAACTTATCATATTTGAGGCCTCACAATGAGCCATTCATTTTGTCTTTTCAAGCAAAACAAGTTTTTTATGTTGCAGACCCTAGTGAAAAGGGATGGCATGTTGCTATAGTTACGAATGCTAGAGATGCATATGAAATGGATTCACTTGTACCTGTTGATACACACTTGCAAAGTGAAATTTGTCACATTGAAGCTGGTTTTCAAGTGAATGAAGATATTATTTGGACTCGTGATGGTGTTCCTGCCGTTATTGTTTAGGATAATGAAGAAGATCCTGAAGATCCTTAAGATGGTTAGTTATTAACTTTGCTTTTCATGGTCATTTGATTTTTCTGCATAACATATACATCTGGAAGTCTAAATTATGTTGAGGTGAATAATTATATCATCTATATTTAGTCCATGTCTATTTTGTTTGAGTTTCCTGTCTCTAGATGAATTTTATTTCTCTTGCCTTAAGAAGTTTCCCTTAATTATAGATGTGTTCTTAGAGGCACAAAATTATGATTCTCCTTTGTGTAGCATTCGTTCATGTGATGTTATATTTGACAGCTTATGTTAAAGGTTGTATATGTAAAAAAAAGTAGTGATGTTTGTGACATGGAAGGTTTTTTGCAGTAGTTAAAAAGTAGTGATTTTGAGTGATATGGAATGGCTACTTGCAGTATTTAAAAAAGTAGTGATTTCAATATCTTTGTTATGATTGAGACATAAACAACCTGTGTATGTTACTTTTTGTTTATAGTTACAGATTCTTTCTTGTCATTCTTGTTTTATATTCTTCTTGATCAGTAGTGGTAATCATATTTTTAGAGTTTAATTTCAGCAAGGCATGTATTTCTTTGTCATTCTTGATTTATGTTCTTCTTGATCAATAGTGGTAATCATACTTTTAGAGTTTAATTCAGCAAGGCATGTATTTCTTTGTGATATCTAATTATGCTTAGTGTTGTTTTTGTGCTTAGGTTATTACTGAAGGTGCTCTCAAGAATGACATGGTGACTTGGTTTTGTTATGAATGGGTAGAGATTTTGTTTTATCTTTGTTAAGAAATATTCATAGAGATGGAAGGTCTCCTTTTTTTAGATAGATATAATCTATTAGTAATTCATTTTGGATTGTGCACGCTAGTCTTCATGTAAATGGAAGATTCTCACTTCATGTCTCAATTTGAATAATACTTTCATTAAGTATTTTGAAATTTATTATTATTATTATTAAAATAAAATACCATGATATTTAAAAAATTATGGCAGCATTAAACTTGGTGGGACACTTGTAAAAAATGTCCTCACATTTGGAACCTATAAAATGTTCCAATGCACGTTAGTTTATGGGACTTATTATTGCGTCCCATTAAGATTCAAAAATATTGGGGCAATTAGATGTATCCCATTGTAAATGAGTTAATGTGACATTTCAATAATGTCATTTTAGAGAAATTATTGTTAAGACACTTAAATATGTCTCATTATGTATTAGTTAATGGGACATTTATCTAATGTCATGTTAAAGAAAACATTATTAGGACATTTGGACATGTCTCATTATATATGAGTTTAGGAGACATTCTTGAAATGTCCAATTATATATCACATTGTTAGGACACTAATAATAGTCCTAAATTATAACTTGACCAGTCAACATTCTCAATTCTTTTTGGGACGCTTGCTTTAAATGGGACGTAAATATATGTCTCAATGATCTATTATGACATTGAGCTGGAGGACATATTTACATGTGTCCCAATTTTGCATGCGTCTCTATAAATAGCTTAATGGGACATTTGAGAGTGTCCCTATTCAACCTTTTTGTTGTAGTGACGCTTAGTTCCTATTCTGAAATCTAAAAACATTACATTATATACCTTTTGTCTCAAAACACTAGCCAGGTTCTGTAAATTAAAAAAGAACAATTTATGATCATATTTTCATTTCAAATACATATGTAAGGGTTTTATTATTCGTTTTTGTACAATTTTATTCCACGTTCTTTATTTTTGAATTTGTTCTCAAATGATCATATGACTAAGAATAAGAAGTCTGCTTTTTCATTGTCTTGACATCCTTCATGCTTTATTAATATCAGTATTGCTATTGTTTTTCTTTTTACTTGGATGTATTGACGTGAGAAACACTGTGTTTTTGGGTTTCCATCTCATGCAACGTGTATCGGGTAAAAGATAACTTTGTTCAATTAACATGGTTTCTTGGCTTCGTTTTGTTCTTAATTTTACATATTCGCAGGGTGGCTGTTTGTTCTTAATTGTATTTTTATCTTTTTGGTTACAAAGTTTTAGTTCGATCATTGGAAAAAAAAATCATGTTAATTTTCTGTTTGTTATATCAGGCCATTAACTTTGAGGCATACAGACAAAAAATATATATATAGTTATGTGAAGATTTTCTTGTAACATCAGCTAAAACTAGGGTTTGGTGTGATAGATAACAAGTCAATAACAGAAATCATAACTTGAACCCTTAAATCGAACCCTTCTCAAGATAATGTACTAAAATGAGTAGTTAACTATCATTTACGTGTAATAATACTGCTCTAATTATTGGTACAAACACACTTATTTCCCGCGTCTCATTAAAAAAAAATCATAACTTTTAAAATATTTTTTTGTTCCCCAAAAATAATAATCAAATTACTGTTTTGTATAAGTTTAGAGTGTATATATATATTGGGAAAAAGTTCATCGTTAACTCATAAATAAAATTTGTATACATTATAAAGTAGTTAACCGTGATTCTTAACATGAGATGAATAAATGTAATGATACACAAATCACATACGCAAAAACTTCCGACCACAATCAAATATTTATTGCTTCTTGCATTCAAGTTGAATACTCAGGCGCGGACTTTGAACGAAAATCACGATCAAACGAAGGAAGAATTTGAAGAAAAAATGGAAATCAGGAGGAGTTGGGATTGGCACAAGTAAAGAATATGAAGTCGTTTGGGTTAGTTGGGATTTGGCACCATAAAAGCTAGGGTTTGGTGGAGGCAAAGATCGTAAATCCAAGAATAAACATACATTGGACCATGTTTTTATCCTCCACAATTTTTTGATAAAAAAGAAGCAGTTGGGAACTTTTAGTATTATTATAAACATTACATAAAAATCTATTTTTGAAAACAGGATGAGAAACATCATAAAAGATGACATGTTTCATGACGTTTTTTATTTGAACCAACTTTTTTTTGTTCAGAAAAATGGAAGAATAATTAGGAGCAGCCAAAAATGAATTACGAAAAGCAATTATGACCAACCTATTCTTGTTTATTAGCATAATTATTGTGACGATTATTTTCCACGTACCACGTGGCTGAACAAAACCGAAATCGGTAGTTTCAGTTCATCATACCAATTATATTTCTGACATTAATATTGCACAGCTTCAAACTATGGGTGCTATTTGAAACATCAGTAATGGAAATTAGAACCAAACTACTGTATTGGAATTGGCTTGGATTCTCATACATCGTCGTCTTTGAAACGGTTTCTCTGTTTAATTTATACTACACCTTATATAAAAACAACTTTTTTAAAAAAACAAAGTGAAATAATTGTTACCCTAAGAACATCCACAACGGTAATGAATAATAAGTAAATAACTACATTATCATGCTATTTATTATTATATAGAGTGTAATAATAACTTATAATGGAGTAAGAATTCTTATACTGTATGATACATTGTTTTCGAGTCAACATATAAAAGTTGATGTTGATACAATAGTTATTTTATTTATAACATTTTCATAATGTAAACCAATATAAAGAAACGTTAATTAAGTAAAAGTATAAATATTGCTGATGCTATGAGATATTAACTCTTCTTCTCTATCTCCATATAGGAGTATAAAAATAGTAAGGAACACTCTCTTCCCCCGATGTTATAAGGCACAACCGGGAGAGAATCATATGATAGGAGTTCTAAAGATACCTCAATTTTTTTTAAAAAAAAAATCAAAAAATAAAATAAAATATATAAACATTAGGATGTCTGATCAAAAGGGCCTATAAGATTAAATCGAGAAATATGACAATCAGATAATACATCTACAGCGTAATTTTCTTTCGTGAATAAGACACGAGGGAGTATTGTTGAGGGATTTAATTGAATTTTAACTTTACTATAATTTCAAAAAACTCGTAAGTTATCCAAACCAAACCCAAAAAGGCTACTTCGTTGCAGTTTCTCATAAATTAACTAAATTCAACTACAAAGGTCGATTCGTCCAAAATAATCAAATCAATATAGACGGAGCGGAGCACCTGGAGATTCAAAGCATTTTACTCACCATTTGCAGTTGAAGATATTTTGGCATTTTCCTTTTGGATCGCTCTCAAGTTTCGACAATTTGTCAATATGGTTGGTGTTATTCTCAGACAAAAATAAATTCGTTTCAAGAAGTAAATTTTGATACTTTATGAGTAGTCAATGTTATTATCGAAGTAAAGCTGTGTAAACGTGTTTTTACTTCAAGAATCGTGCGTCATAAATCTGAACTATTAAAATGGGACGACGCGAATATTGGAATTGACTGTTAGTAATAATTTTAATGCTGCTGGACCTGTTTAAGGCGGAACAGAACTACTAGGAAAATTTATCCTCACAAAATTCAAATGTGATGAGATCATGTAATGGACAAATTTCGGGCAGTCAACTTCTTCATTATTTCGTTAGCAGATGAAAATGTTCTGACGTAAAAAGTTGCATAAATTCCTCTAGGAAATTTCAATTATATAGTACCTGGAATTAAGGGGGTTGTACCTACCTGCATGGCTGCATGTATATATAATAAGCCCTGCTCATGCTGGAAGACCGTGCAGCAAGAATTCAACAGCAATCTGTATCGCTTGAAGTCTGTAGCTTCTTCGATATGGGCAGGTCTCCATGTTGTGACAATAATGGCTTGAAGAAGGGACCGTGGACACCCGAAGAGGACCAGAAGTTAGCTACGTATATCCAGAACTATGGCCATGGAACCTGGAGAAGTTTGCCACACAAAGCAGGCCTCAATAGATGCGGAAAGAGCTGCAGATTGAGATGGAATAACTATCTCAAACCTGATATCAAAAGAGGGATGTTTTCAGACGAAGAAGAGCGCATCATTGTTGAACTCCATTCAGTTCTTGGAAATAAGTAAGGGAGAATTATTTCATTTATCAAACTGACAGGGAGTTCGGATAACCTTACCAATAATGTACGGTGACTGTGTTTGCAGGTGGTCGAAAATAGCAGCACATCTACCTGGCAGGACAGACAATGAGGTAAAGAATCACTGGAACACAAAGTTGAGGAGAAAGCTTCTTAAGATAGGGATTGATCCACAAACACATAAACCAGTAGTCCTTGATGTCAACCAACTCCTTCATCATTCTCAGCTGCTGTCAGCTTTAAACCCCGTGGGGAGTCTAATGAACATGTGGACAAACGCTCTGTTATCACATGTAGATGCAACTCAACTAGCAAAGTTGCAACTGGTGCAAAATTTACTCAAGGCAGTTAATTATGCAGGTCCACAACCAAATAGTCTGATCCCATCATCTATGTTGATTCCAGGAGCAAGTAGTTTGCAGACCACAGACTTCTTATTTCCAACAATAAATTCCGATCTAGCACCATCAGTAACATTACCCCCTCAGAATGAGAATATTAACAATTTTGGCAATATGAACAGTTATCAAAAAGAGGATTCTGTTCCTGCATTATTCGAAGATACGAATACCCCTGAAACATCTATGAATATGGACCAAGCAAATCAATCATCAATGCAGTCAATTGATTCATTTCAGAGTTGGCTAGAACTCGTGGATCAAGAAGATTTTTGGAAGGAGATCCTGGCATAACTGATATAGCAGCTATTCTTCCTAATGTTGGCCCTTCAATTGTAACTTTCCCAATGTGCAGAATCACCTATTCTTTATTTCTTTTGTAATCCAGTGTCTTCTGTAACAAGTATCTGTTTCAACCCTGTAATACCTTTTGATGAAGTCTTTTAAGCAATTTCCGTGTAATGCATTTTTTATACCATTGATTCATTTATATTTCTGTTGATTCCTGTCTGAATACGTTTTTTCTTATTTTTTGTGATTTGTCACTTTTTCCTAAGACTAAAAGTTGCAGGTAATCATGACTAATTTCCGTCAAAAGCTTATAAATTGAGATACATCCTGTAATTGTGAAGACAGATATATCAGGACAAAGAATACTAACTGTTGCATGTTCTTTCATTCATTTTCTATTATAGTCCACAGTACCATAACATGCTATGTAATACAAATAATACAAGGACAAGTTAACAGGATCCAATCTTAAAATGATGAATTTATGCTCGTTGCTCTGACATGCACAAATGTTCTGTTTTGGAGTGTACCTGATTTTTGGAATCAATAACAAACTTGTGGAGACCTAGGTTTCTGATTCAATTAGACTACAGCCACGCTCTTTCTTTACTCCAGAGTCATCCATGAACTTCCTAACTTTTTGGGCACCATCCCACTCACCTTTTAAAGCATATATGTTAGAGAGCAAGACATAGTCCCCACTCTTGTCATGTTCCAATTTGAGGAGAGCCTCGTTTGCTTGCCTCCCCAACTCAATATTACCATGAATTTTACAAGCACCAAGCAGAGTTCTCCAAATGATACCATTTGGCTCAATCTCCATGGTGTCTATAAACTTGAAAGCCTCCTGCAATAGCCCCGCACGCCCAAACATATCCACCATGCAACCACAATGTCTAATGTTTGGTGAAATTCTGTACTCATTTTTCATCAAATCAAAGTAACTGCACCCCGCATCAACTTTTCCTGTATGACTACAAGCTGCTAACACCACAGTGAAGGTAATATCATTAGGTTTAAGCTTGGATCTTCTCATTTCTTCGAAAAGATAAATGCATTCCTTGGGATGACCATGAAATGCTAACCCAGCAAGGAAGGAATTCCAGGATGTCACATCTTTTTCTTTCATTCCTCGAAAAACCTCAGTAGCCTTCTTCATGTTTCCACACTTGGCATACATATCTATAAGTGCATTGCCAAGCAAAATGCTAAAATCTTCTGGTCCAGCTGTCTGCAAAATTGACCGATGCAGCTTCTCCCCAACATCTAAAGCACCAGAATCCGCACAAGCAGATAAAAGGCTCAACATGGTGACCTCATCAGGGTAATCGCCAGCACTTCTCATCTCCTCATGCATCTCAAAGGCCCTTTGGTACTCCCCACAGAGAACATATCCAGATATCATTGTATTCCACGTAACAACATCCCTCTTCGGCACCACATCAAACAACTCCCGCGCCTTATCCATCTCTCTCTGTTTCACATACCCAGTGATCATCACATTCCACGAAACCAAATCTTTCTCCGGCATCTCATCAAAGTGCTTCCTCGCCATGCTCAAATCTCTTCTTTTAGCATACCCAGCTGTCATAGCAGACCAAGCAACAACGTCCCTTTTCACCATGTCACTAAACAGTGTACTAGCTATCCCCATATCACCACAATTCGCATGAAAGTAAATGAGGGTATTCCTAGTAAACTTATTCCATTCAAACCCATGTTTCACAATCTTCCCATGTATAACATTACCGGTTTTCAACCAAGCAAGCCTGGTACACGCCTTCAGCACAAAGGGGAACGTATACCCATCAGGATCCACGTAATGCCTTTCCATCTGGGCATACAGAGGGAGAGTAATTGAGGGTTTATGACTCTGAGCGGAGCCCCGGAGCATGGTATTCCACATAAAACGGTCTGGTTCGGAAATTTGAGCGAACATTTGGTGGGCATAATGAATAGCTGATGGGATTGCAATTGCGGAGGCGTAAATGAGTTCTCGGAGAGCATGCTGGTTGGAATTGAAGCCATTGATAATCATCAAGGCGTGGATTTGCTTCAGTGTTCGGAAGTTTGTACAGTTTCGCCATAGTTTTGAGCCTTGGTACCGGCGGGAACTTTTGTCTACGGTGGGCTTCCTGATCATCTAAGACGCATCCTGTATTTCAAATAACCAACGGTAGAGATTGTGGGGTAGAAAGAAAAGGGATTGCTAAATTATAAATTTAAGAATTTTAGACTGTCTATTTAAGAAATGTTTCACCTGAACTATACTGTTGGTTATAAGATTTTGAACTTCGCAAGTACAAATTTGCTAGAATTTGCACCCCTAAAATTTTTTTTTCTTTTATAATACCGTATTTGTTTTTTTTTTTTGAGAAATAAAATTTATTAATTTACTGAAACCGTCCAGCAGCGATTGATAAGAAAAGATACAGCCAGAAAAACACAACTTACAATTGGCCATAATCATAGTGTCTTTGTTGTGTTTCATATATATAAACCTATATAGATCTACCCTATTAAGCAGTGGTTGTATCACGTGCCGAAACAAAGATACAACACTAAAAATCAGTTGAAACTCCCAAATCATAGATCTAACAACTAAATCTATGATGGCTTTCGTACCTGCAAACATCACTGACAAAAATGTCGTTATACCAACGAACATCACCAAGAAAGTCGTCGCCATACCAGCGAACATCCATAAGGAAGTCGCTGCCATACCTAACTAGTATAGGAGATTATAATCTCACTTATTGAAAATAAATTAAATAACAATAAAAAGTGTAAGGATCGGGGTAGAATTATCTCCCCCATCTTTTCATGGTGGAAAGATAGGGAAAAGATGGAGTTTTTTTTTTTGTTTTAGGGTTTTAGGGTTGGAGAGGGAGAGAAAGGCAGCCTTATAATACCTTATTTGTTTAGTAAATGTTCTTTTAACACCTTTTTTTTTTTTTTTGTCAATAACCATATTCATTTTTGATTATAAAGAAAATCAGAGCAAATTACCAAAGTTTACAAACAAGTTAAACGACTCATCTAATCACATAGGGGCTTGGTTATCTCATCTTTATGTACACTTGTTAGATAAGGCTAATTTGACAAGATTGAAACTAGTAAATTTTTATTTTTTACGGATATACAAAAATTTACACCCATCAAAGAATGATTTTAATAAAAAGATGTCTTTAACTATTATAATAATATCTGAAACGGGGTGAAGAATTTTACCCTATAACCAAGCTACAATAGTCTTGTCATTTAATTGAACAATCATTTAATGTCTTTTTAATACCTCAGGTATGACTAAATGATTGTTCTCACTTCTCTGTTGGGGGAACGTTTTGCATTTTATTTAAATATGAATTTTTAAATAGATAGGCAAGGGGAGTTTAACTTATAACTAACAAATTATTCCAAAATTGTAAACAAAAAATTACAAAAGAAACTTTCATTTCACAAAATGATTTTCTCTTCTTTAATCTTTACTTGTCTCTACGTTAAATTTTCACAATTTTATTAGAAAGGGCAAACTCTACTTTTGGTCCCCTGTTTACACCCTTCACCAGCCGGGTCACTAAAAGTTTTTTGCTAATGAATTTAGTCACCTATAAAAGGTTATTCAACACTTTTGGGTATTTTTTTTAAGAGTAAAATGGGAAATTAACAAGAAATGTACCCTAATGTACTACCTTTGTTCCAAGAGAATAGTCTATATTGAATTTTAAAATTTGTTTTGTACTTACAAACTTTAAAACTCAATGTATACTATTTTTTTCGGACAGAGACTGTATATGTTACTCCCTAAATTTTGGATGACAAACTAATTAAACAAATTACCACCTCAAATTTTCGTGATACAACAAAAGAACATATTACCTTTTAATTAACTTTTTCCTTTTCTATTTCTTATTTAACTTTGTAATTTTTGGCGAGTATTTATTAAATCATATTTTCAAGGATCCATTTGTTTATTGTTTTTTTATATATATTTTATTCATTTGTTTTTTTTTCCATGTTCTTGTATGCATTTTTATATTGTTTTTCTCGAACTTCTGTTCACATGTTTTGTTTGAGTTATTATTTTCATTAAATTAGATTCTGAATTTTATAACGGTAGAGAAAAGTCTAATTCTATTATTTCAATTTGAAATTTCATGTTCGAATTATAATTCAATAGAATTACATCTGATATGCTAAAGGCCAACCGAATCAAAAGTTTTAAAGCCTACTTATTGAAAATAAATGTTTTGATTCTCACTATAGTTTACACTTCGATCATGTTGTTTGACTAAAATTCAAGAATTTAATTTAAGGAATTTTTACTGTACATATCATGGTTTGACATTTGTATTAACACAACGGCATAGTAGAAAATATTAGGAAGAAAAAAGTTGACCATGTGCTGTACGGATATCGATCAAGTTCATATAAAAAATGGCGCTATTCCTTCCTGTTTGGTAACATTAGACAAGGAAAGATTAGCTGATTTATTCGAAAGTTGACATGAATTGTCAATTTTACCCTATTATTTTTCGGTTCGCCAATATTACATCAAGTTATTCAACTGTTAGCCGATTTTGTCCAATTTGCCAATTTCCGTTTAAATTAACGGAATTCGGTTAGTTTTAATTATAAAAATATTCTAATAGTTTTAAAAATTTTAAAAATGACCCTAAAATTTGTAAAAATAACAAAATAGTCTCTTTTCAGTTTTTATTTAATTTTTCTATTTTTTTTATTTCTTTTTGCTATTTTTCGTAACTATAAAATATATTATATGATCTTTTAAAAAAAATTTATTTTTTAACTCTAATGTACAAATTTATAATTATTACATATTTGTGAGTCATGTTTGCTTTACACAAACATATTAATTTTTAATAATATGGTTTGCATACTATTTTTTAATCCATTTTTTTCAATCTAAACAATAAAATTACTTAAACTAAACTAATTTTGTACAAAAAATAAAATATTTATCATAGATTAAAAATAAAATTTATTGGTATACTTTAATGTATTACAATTTAATTCGACAGAATTTATATTGTATTGTAAAATTAAAAAAAAAAACTAAAGTATAAATTTTCTTTAAAAGGCCAAGTACGAACAGAACGTAGCAAAAAAAATAATTAAAAAAACCTATTTCGTTTCTACATTGGTCCAACACAAGAATATAGTGTCGTGACATTTACAAAATAGTACAAAATATTTTATAAAAAATATGTATATTTATCATTGCGAGGGTTTAACATTTTGTGATAATTTTTTGAGATATTAACATGCCTAACCTTAGCAGGAAATTTTTTTTAATAAAAAACAAAAAAAATCTACTCCAGCACTGGACTTTACCTTTAAAAAAAATTACCTCGGTAAAAATCGAGGCCTCGAACACAGTAATAATCATCTCCCATCTTAAATCACCTGACATCCAACTCAACCATGCTTAAATGTGAATAAAATCATTCTCCCCGTTAGAAATCTTTTGGTGAGAATTAATTTTATATCCATCCTAAACACTAGAATTGACCCTATGTTTTAGTTTAATTATTTTTTGAATTGGATAATACAATCTATAGTCTGTTTAGTTAATTTGTAATAAATTAAAAATGTACTAATATATTAATTTTTCATCTATGCCAAATGTTTTAATTTTTTTGTAAAAAATTAGTTTTTAGTCAAAAAAATCTTATCCTTTAAATTGAAAAAAAGGATTAAAAAATAATATCATTATTGTCAAGTTATATTATTAAAAAAATTAATATGTTTATGTAAATATGTATATCTAAAAATGTGCACAGTAGTGTTTAAAAATAAATAGTTTTTTTTAAAGATCATAGAATATATTTTTATACTTATGAAAAATAGTAAAAAGAAATAGAAAACAGAAAAAATTAAATAAAAATTAAAAAGAGACTGTTTGGTTATTTTTACAATTTTTTTAGGTCATTTATATAATTTTCAAAACTATTAGAGTGTTTTTATAATTAAAACTAACAGAATTTCTGTTAATTTAAACGGAAATTAGAAAATTAGACAAAATCGGCTAATGATTGGATAGATTAGGGTAATATTGGCTAACCAAAAGAGAATAAGATAGAATTGACAATGCATGTAAACCTTTGGGTACATCTGCCAATTTTTTCAATTAGACAACTTTTTAGTTGGTTTGTCTCCTAATCTTCAGATGAATAAACAATAATACCCACAACCATTTGACAAAATGTGAGAAAAAAAAATTACTTTCAAAGAAAAAGAGAAAAAGGGTGGATATCATTTGTCCACCTCGACCTTTTAATACATACGTACTCGGCGGTAGAGATTGGGAACATATGGGGGCAGTCGCCCCCCTCTCTCAACAATTTTTAAATAAAAAAGAGCATTTTTGTAGTATAGAAAAATTTAATCTCGCTTTTATTAAATGAAAAAAAATTATTTTGTCTTTTTTTAAAAAAAAAATTATGTCTCTGTCACTGTATATATTCTTTTTTTTCATTTGAATAAGACTCTAACTTTAAATTATGAATAGTGCATTTTTTTTTAAAAAAAAAAAAAAAAAAGTATATGCATGCATGCCAATGTAGTATGATGACCTTTGTGTGTTAAGCCACTCATATATACTAGAAAAATTCGCTATGATTAATTTACAGATCATTTTAATTTTTTTAATCAGTTATCTCACATATCGAGGTGCGGGTAACTCAATAAACATATTAACCATTGTTACGACTATTCTATATGTGCATGGGAATAAAAGTCACACTAGGAAATTGATGAGGTAAAGAAAATGAGTCGATAAAAGCTAATTTACTTTTTGGTATGCATTAAGTATAGCAACTTCTTATAAAGAATTATTGTTTATGAATTAATTCTATCACGCACCGTGCTCTCTTCTTCGGATTTCGACAATTACTATGTATATACTCACATCTGCTCCCCAAAAAGAAAAAGAAAAAATGTATACTCAAACAGAGTAGTTAGTTACTTGTTAATGTTCAGAAGCAACACATCCATTTCATACAATTACCATCTGCAAACGTCATTTTGTTTCCCTTAGAATATTTTGCTACCTGGTAGCTAGAAGCCAGCTGATACTAATTTTTCATGATTTTTATCTCTTCGGGTTTTACTCATAGTACGTACAACAATGAGCTCATAGTTAGTCTATCTCAGCAGCCACAAAAATGAAATATCATGCAACTTCTCTCAGTCATTAAACTATTTTAGTTTAATTTAATTGATTATTAAAATGATAATTAATATGAGTTATATATTTAGTTTGTGTTGTAAATTCCATTAAAAAAAACCACAAAAAAAAATTATGAATCAACTATGATCCTATAAGTTCAAGTTTCGCGGGTTGCTAGTGAGATCGTAACCTCTTTTTTCTTCTTGATATTGTTGTTAGATCTCTTTCCCTCGAGTTACTCATTTAATGGTGGTTAATTAACAATTTTCTAAGTCTTTAATCTTACGTTGTTGACTTGCAAATGCAGCAAAGAGAGGTCAGCAATGCAAGAAAACGGGACTAGCTTTAGAATTCTCAACTCCCCATTTGACTACTAGCTTTAAATGACGTCCTATTCTTCTTTTTCAAATGTTTTTTTTAAAAAAAAAAAATTATGAATTGGACAAGGAAAACCTTAGTCAATCTGTAGAAACTTCGAAACTTCGGAAGACAATCTCTATGTCTTAAGATCTAGAACTTGTGATTAACAATTTGTACGAAGAGTGTCCATGCATGCATGACGCGATTGTTGAAACACTCGATTAAATCTTTGCTAAAAGAGAAAAACAATCGAAACGCGGATTATTTAGATTTATCTAAGATGTTGGGTCGGTAATATAATTAAGAGGATTTCATTACTGAAGCTTATAAATTTCCCTCTTTTGAAATGATATTCAGATGAATAATCTGTTTTGAATTAGCTTCTTTTTTTCAATGATCTCTTTCTTTTTTTTTTTCTTTTGCAAAATTAAGTAGAAAACAGAATTTTAATGCAAGAATGATCGCGCGAGAAAATGAAGTACGTACAGTCATGCTTCGAGTTATGTATGCAGCAAATTAAGGACCATTTGCAAGAAAATACTAATAATATATAACCACTTTGAGAATTCCACTAACACGGGCCAATATGAAGTAAATTACTACTTCTGTCCTAGAAAAATAATCCACATTGATTTTTCAAATTTGTACTAAAAATAGTTCACATTGAATTTTCAAATTTGTACTAACTAGTACAAATTTAAAAACTCAATGTGAACTATTTTTCTGGGACAGAGGAATATTACTGTATTAATTTGAGAGAGGGATAACAGATTATTGGAGCAATGAGAAATAATATTGCATGTAAAAATGAGGTGGTGCTTGATGTAATATTATACGTGAAAAGACGAAATTTTTCTTTCAAAATCTTGATCATTTTGGATGTAATTTAGTAATTACATCGTTTCACAACTCATTTCGTATTTTTTTACCGGCCTATAAGGCTATAAGGAATTTACTTCTACAAAAAGAAAACCTACAAGTTTGGTACAACATTAGAATGTCAAGCAAAAATGTCTACATTGTCAATGTTTAACAAAATGATGAATGATCTAAATACGTATCTTATCGCGAGAGCTAGTTGTGGAAACCTAACTTTAACCTACAACGCATAGAAAATCACCAATCATGTCATTAACTACTACGGTAACCTTATATCACATGGGTATAATGAATGAGAGAGAAGTGTCAATGTTTTACCAAACATACGAAATGAAGTTTAAAACAAACTGAAAGTTGTCCAAATACATCCCTAGCTGAACATCAAGCTAGCTAAACTCTTCGTGCATTATAATGAAACCTAAAACTCCGACTTCATCAAAATGCCTACGGCCATTTTTCTTTCAGTAACGTAATCACGAATTGGCTCTCCTTATAATTAACCAAAAAAAAAAAATTGTAATGATTGTATGCTTATATAAGGATTCAATACACGATGAACACGATTGTGAAACTGTGAAAAAGAGGTGTGGAAGATGTAAAAAGGAAAAAAAAAAAAAAAAAAAAAAACAAGAAAGCCAATAAGGAAGCATAAATTTCAACATACATACGTATTCCATGAAACTAACCAGCAACTTCTACCTTACTACAGAAGATGAAAACGATACTTGGTTTACCTAAACCTTATTTTATTCTCTAATGTTATCTCCCCCGAATCCTGTGTTTCTTCTCCCTTCTACTTTGGAAGAAGACAGGCTTAAACAATGGAGAAAAAATCTTGACTTTCTCCTGGGAACAAAGGTCCTCAACCAATCTAATAAAAAAATCATGACCATATTTACTTTTTATGTGTATATATAAGATTCATTATCCTAAGTTGTCACGGCAGTTTATCTCCAACGATATTGTCCCTAGAATACGAATTACCAGATGAAGAAATCTCAAGAAAATGGCATAACTAAAGGGCCCTGGTCGACTGAGGAGGACCAAAAACTTATTGATTATATTAAGAAAAATGGTCAAGGAAATTGGCAGAAAATTGCTAAGAAAGCAGGTCTTAACAGGTGCGGAAAGAGTTGCCGGCTCAGGTGGACGAACTATCTCAAACCCGGGATTAAAAGAGGAGGATTCTCAGATGAAGAAGAAGCTATCATAATTGCCCTTCACAAAGAAATGGGAAATAAGTAAGTAAATTAATCTCCTTTATGGTCCCTTTTAATATATGTTTTCAAGAACATGAATAACATTGTGATGTAAAATTAGGTGGTCAAGGATTGCTGGTCACCTTCCCCGAAGAACAGACAATGAGATCAAGAACCATTGGAACACACATTTGAGGAAGAAGCTACTCAAAATGGGAATCGACCCGACAACCCACATGCCGATTCCTCCTCCTCCCCCTCCTCACCATGATCTGAATAATCTGCTCAATCTTTCTCATCAGGTTGATCAGCTATTCACAGCTTCGAATCTGTACAATTACTTGAATGTTCCTCCTTTGGATGGCGGTCTTCTTGGCTTGCAAGAAATTAATGCCGATGATTTGATCAAACTCCAAATTCTTCAGAACACATTGCAACTTATGAATCCAAGTCCACTTCCATACAGTGTTCAGGGAAATGCTAATCTGGGAGATCACCTCGTCCAGTTAGACAGGCTTTATAATGGGGCGACAAATGATATTCCCACTGTTGATCCCTTTCAGACTCATTCATCATCAACAATGTCAGATTGGAGTACAGTTTCTGCATCATTACTGAATCAAATGCAGCAGCCATTGACTTCCAAGTCTTTACCATGCTTTGAAATTGAATCTGTTACTACTCCATGGTCAGTCATGAATGACAGAAATAGTATATTCAATTCGGAATATTCATTTGAACCTCTTCCATCTTTGGTTACAGTCACCCCTGAAAGTTCCACAGTGACCAAGCTTGAAAACACCGAGCAAAGTTACATAAACACAGACCAACCTGATCATGATCAGCTGCAGACAAATCAGTTTGAGCCATGGGAAACTCTTAATGTGGATGATGAGGCCAACAGTTCTCTTTGGAAAGACATTTTCGGATGATGGTTATTTTCACCTTACTTTTAACTTCAGTGTGAACATGAACATATCTTTGTACATTATTATTATTCGTCTGTGTTACTACTACTTTTGTTATGCTGTGAGAATCTAATTATAGATTGATCCCTCGGCTCAGACATTGAGAGATTCATGTTTTGATCTTGATTGTAACTTATGTACAAAATAAGTTCACCTTATGCGCTTTAATATATATACATGCAATATTGGTTGATGGCCCACCAAACCTAATTATTTGTCATGAATCATGATCATTTCTGGAAATGTTATACTTTCCCCTGTAGCAACTTATTCAAAACAGTATTTAACTTCTTTAATTACCGATTTAAGAAATACTTAGTTGTTAACTACCATATAATACTTCCTCAGTTCCATAATTTCTGTAGCTGTTGATCATAGAAATCTTTATTGACTGAATTCAGAAAGATATCTCTGACCATAGTCCAGCATTCCTTCGGGAGAAATAAGTTAAGTCTGTTCTAGGTCGTTGTGTACATGCACTTTTCAGTGCCGCGACACAATTCTACTTGATCTATTATTTTCTTTGACCTTTGTGTATATGTAACCTAATCCATCCCCTTCAAACAACTTCACATCTATTAATTAATTGCATGGGAAATATTTGAAGTAAGAACTTAAGGGATGAGTGGTCATAAAATACCATTTGTTTGAGGGGGAAAACGAAACAGTTGGACCAGAAAGGGATAGCTTAAACTTAAGAGACCCTCATTTGTTGATTTATTTAAAAGGACGACGATAATACTACAGTGATTAAACGTGCTTCTAATTGGATGGTTCTTATAGATGTGGAAAAAGTCAGATGTTTGTTACCTGTTAGGTGAAGTTAAATTTCTTATAACTCAAGTTACTAACCACAAAGAAAGCGACTACTATAATGTCTGTCTCTACCTTTCTACGACTTGGAGTTAAACTGATGTCTTGAGTTTATCAGTATGGTCAACTGAAGAAACTGCGCCAAACCAAAGCTATAATAGTACCCTGTTGAGAATCGAAGCAATAAGAAAATGAATAGCACAATGCAAATATGCACATGTATTCTACGTTCTGTGGTAAATGTGAATGGAATATTCGACTTCTTATCCTAAGTTGTTTTGTGTTAGATTTCCAACCAAAGAAGAAAATTCAACAATTTCCCGTTTTCAATTCTACCACTCTACAGAACACAATGACGACGACACGTGGTTCACAAGTTCATGCCACATAATCGGAAAGGTTAATTGCTGAATTCTTCTTTACCCTATTTGCTGAAGTCTGATGATGCGTAAGGCTGGACCTTTTACCAGAACAATGTTGCTCTCTCTCTGGAAATCTGCCATAGGTCAGACCATAATGATCCACCAGTCTACGTGATCTGTGGTTGCCGATGTGCCCTTGGTCTCATCAACATCAACATAACCACTTTTATAAATAGTGCATCTTAATACAACTCATAGTTTATTCCTCGAAAGGAAGAGTTCACAACCTACTTACAAGATTTAGAACTTCAATTTAGGGCTGTGACATCTATGTTAATATTCTAGTTGAAACCTCCACCAGTTTACGACCCAATCCACTTGTGGACAGAGTTTCATATAAGATTATGATGTGTTCTAATGCAGTTCAAACTCTGTAACCACCTGGGAATCAATATCAACACTTGCCATGACGATTCACTGGCCACTGTAGCTAAAAATAAGGTCTATGGATCAGATCATAGGGTGGGAACAACATACCCTTACTGTGCTGGTCTTCAATGTGCTAAGTTAGAAGTCGTAATTTCTGTCACGCACGGACCAGTCCCAAAGAAAACCACTTAATTAACACGCACACCAACCTTCCACTATGAGATATACAGCATAAAATTGAAGGAAGCGAAGCCATCCAAATGAAAATGCATTACCTCCTTCAACAATCTTACATCAAATTTAAGCAGTAAATTATGGTAATGAAAATCAGTATTGATCTTATTTCCCTTAGTCCTTGTATATCCAACGAATCCAGAGCAACCTTTAAAAACAAATGAATCTAACCTACAAAGCACAGAGAGAGAGAGAGAGATAGTTGTGTAGCTATAGTTTCACTGCTGAAAGTTAAACTATGCACAAAATGGCCAAGCAAAAACTAATACTATGCACAAAATGGAGAATCAGACATATTTCCCATGGATGAGTACAGCTGCATGCATACTTGAGATAATGGAAGGTCTACTTAAGAACAGCAGACACTGAAAAAAACTAATGTTATATATAGCAGCAATATATCACAGAAAAGAAGATAAAATAACTGACAATGGCAAATATTTCAAGACTACACGTGTAAATGTAGTTCCAAGGTCAGGAAATGAAATTAGCTTTAAGTTTTGTAATGAATAAATTTAATACTCTTTCAATGCTGTAACCAAAACCTTCCTTAGTTAGTTAGAAAAGGACAGAGTGAACCCTGCCGTCGTAATACATGGGACTTAAGAAAGTGTTAATAATGATGTTATATCAGAAGTAAAATTACGGAAGGAATGGGTTTTAAAGTATCAGGGTAAAGATGATTTTGTTACTATGGGCAAAACCAGAAGAAGGTCAGAGGTTACTTTTTCTATTTCCATTTTTGTTTACAAAAATATGTTAAAGCCAATGGAATGCGAAATAAACTCCCCGTTTAACATTTGCTCGGTATTTGCTCTACCGGTTAAAATGATCATGCTTCCACTCTTACACGTCAGATCCTCAAATCGATAATCACAAGATTAGAAAGTCTACTCCTGCCACATTCACATTAGTATGAATGCTTTCCAATAGTTAACCACCTAACTTTTTCAGGATTTATCCAACAATATGAATATCCTGACATGGATGATATTTTCGATCAAACTTACTTTCCACCCTTTGCTCTCCTAATTAAACTCAAAATCCAACCAGGATCATCATATAAAGATTTACAAAGTCGTATGTCAGCAGGCAGGCTTGATTGAGAGCTCCAAAAAGAAAGTTTATATCTTCTTCGGACTGTTTCAATATGCCAATAAATGCACTTCTCCTCCCCCCCCCAACCACACACACACACACAGAGTTTTACTTGTAATATTACCCCTGCAAATACTCAGAAAGAGTAACTTACAAGAAAATAAGATCAATGTAGTCAATCCCCCTTGATAAATCCATTAACTAGTTAGCATCACTGATATGTTGTAGTGATTCTTATGTCAAAAAGAACAAGACATCCATATTCAAACCAAGGGCACTTCAATTTTGAAATGTGCAACACCACAGTAAGTAAGATGAAGCTACAAAATGTCACTCAACATAAGATTCTACATGCTCCATTGCAAAAACTAATTATATACCTCAACCTGCACAAAGAGTTCTGACATGCAGTGCATCTTTTAGCAGGCACACGACAAAGCAGCTAGTTTACCCCGCCGTAGGCTTTACATGCACTTTTGATGTACCTATCAAGAAGATCAAATTAAAAAAGAACAAATGGTGAGAATATGTTGAGTCTCACATGAAGCAAAGACCAAATCAATTATCAGTACATTATCTTTTTCTGACACAGTAATAACTATGTTATTCCGGTAGATCTTGAGTTGCAAATAAAGAGATAAAATAATGAATTCAGACTCTGATTCCCGTCTTTGTTCTCAAATAACAGCTAATATCTGCAGGAGGTGCGAAAACCTGGGAAACAACATAAATCTTAATAAGCATTCACCATAATAAGCTCGCTTAAGGTACAGATACAAGTACAACAGTTTGCAGACAGATATCCACCCAAGCCGAATAAGGAGACTACATAGGAAACAAAATATGCCGACATTAAAGCAACAGTAAACTACATATCACGCAAAAAAAAAAAAAAGAAAAAAAAAAACGCAGGTATACATATACGACATTTCTTTTGCCAGCATGTAGTCATTCAAAAGTTAAGGAAAGCATTTAAGGCATCAGATTCCATCTCGTGCAAAACCTACTTGAAAAAGCAAATGATTATGAAACTGTACAGAATAGACAAAATAGTACCATTTCTCTTTTTTGTACATATCACAATTCAAAACCACATTGACCATGCACGCCCCGTACCCCCATCATAGTTGATACTTACATCAAACAATAGAAGAAAGCTAACACAAGCTCCTTGGTACACCAGCTGTCCAGGACTCAGATTCTTTCCTGTCTCATGAACGCCACTGTTTGATTATGTTATGTGCACCTGCTGCATTCAGCTACCTAGTTGAAAAGGCATCCACCTTTGGCAACTTTAATCGAAGGTAAAGCATTAGTTCTACTCCAAATATAGGCAGGTGGTACAGAATAATGTAACTTCCACATTCAATTAACAGTAAGGAAAAGTAGAAACATGAAGCAGAAGTTCATTACCTTCAAAGATCTCCTAAAACATACAGCTGGTAATATTGTTATTCTACTACAATGCAACCAAATGAAACCAATGTTTCCAACCGAGAACAGGGCAGTCGAGGAAAAGGATTAAATTATAAATCAACTCTGGAATCTCCAGGTTGTATAAAGTTATAATTGAAACAAATAGTTTTCCCTTCTGTGGGAAGTCCTGGAGGCAAACATCCAAGAGAATAAACATTTTCACAAAAGGAAGCTGAAAAGAAACATTCACCACACTAACTGATGGAAACCGGTCCTTAAATGAAACTAAATTAGCCATCTTCAGAAACGAAGACATACAGTGTCAATAGCTGCTGAAATAAAGCATTAATAAGGAATTTGGAAGTTCGGCTGTAAAACTTACAGCAACATTGAAATTGCAAGAAAAAGTATTAGGTGTTTCAGAATAACTTCTCACGACAAAAATGGCTACATTAATTCCTCCGATTGCTAAAGGCATAACATCATAATTAGCAAGCCAGAAAATTACATTTGCCATGGAAGATGACTATAACCTCCCTAAAAATTTCATCAGACTATTCTCAACAGCACCTATCTATGCAATGTACATCATGGAACAAGAAGATACACCAGGTATGTCTGTCAAACTACACCAAATCAAAGAAACTACCTTATCCACCCCTACCCTACCTATCTCCTGAAGCTCTATGTCAACCCGGAGAGGGTTTACCACCAGTTTGCACTAACCAGCACCTTCTTTGCCCCACCTAAACCGCGATCAACCAGACACATCAGACTTGAAAGGAAGGCTCCTTTTCTTCCCTTTCAAGTGGAGACACGTGAAGATCCCCCTCAGCTTCTCCAAATCCAATATTTCCCACCAAAAGTCCCTTCAATTCATTCTCACAATCATCTACCACTGAAGGATCAACAGCCTGCTCTCTCTTGCTCAAAACATCCCAAAAAAAGTCAGCTATGACACTCTCATAATTGGGCATCTTTGCATACCCAGGAAAATAGTTAATGTCGATAACAAGGTACCTATTCCCAACATTGGTGTCCCTAATCAGATCAAAATTAAACAGATGCAACTTAGTTACCTTTCTCAACCCAGTTGCAATCTCAGTAACCAAACTCATGGGCGGCAACTCAGCATTTTCCAGTTGTGTCACTTTATAGTATTTATCATCATTTCTAGCCTGTGCATTGAGGTTGGAGACCTGGCAAAAAGACAATGACCCCTCTAAACTTCCCAGATTCTCCTCATTCACATCTGGCAAGGACTTCCTCTTCACACACTTGACATGCTCCCCAACAACATACACCTTAAAAATAACGCCACCATGGTTAACAAACTCCTGCAACACAATAGGTGGTTTGAGCTTACTCAAACCGTCACTGTTATAAACCAGCAACATTTTGTGCGATTTCGCACTGCCGTCGGCCACTAACGGCTTGGCAATAATCGGGAATTTCAAACCCAGGTTTCTCAAATCCACCTCCGACACAGAAACCGAGTCATGAATCACAGTCTGTTTGGGAATGCCAAAAAACGACTCGGTAGCCGCCAATTCCGAACCGTCGTCACCACCGTCGTGGCACACCGTCAGCTCCGTCACAACCTCAAGCATGGAGATACGGTTATGGAGGCGCTCGATGGCCTCGGGGGGGTCGACAATTAAGGCGCTAGGGTTTTTGTCGGAGAAATCCGACAATTGCTGTTTCCACTCATCACTATACAATTTGTGGAGCACACAATCAAACGGCCCCTGATCCACTAATTCCTTCTCCAAATCGATTTTAATCAAATCGATTCCTTTCTCCGCCGCGATCTTCAAAAGCGAGTCCTGTATGAAACTCGATTGCTTCTTCGGCGCCAAAGCGTACCCCACCGTGAACCTCTTCCCCTCCACCGCCTCCGCCATTAGCGCAACCCCCAATGTCCCAATTTTTTTATTTAAAAAAAAATTCAAACCACAAAAAAAAAAAAACTAAAAACTAGCAAGAACAGAGCAGTATCCGTAACGAATTATCAGAATTGCGGCATTATAGGCACCAGTAAGCCCATCATTTCGGGAGCTGAATTGTGGGAAATTGGGGGGAAAATGTAGGGTTTTGGTAATGGCGGAATGAAGCGGTGATTGAAATTGGTGGAATTGTGGGGAAATTAAATTCAAACGGCGAATTCATTACACCAAACCCAACCAAAAAAAAAAAAACAGAAACCACAAAGTGGGAAAAAAAGAGAAAACACAAAAAACAAAAAAATAAGAAATAAAGATTAGCCAGACAGTGATGTCTGTTTCGAGGGTATTTATAGGATAAGGTTTGAGGGTTGAGGAGGGGGAGGAGAGAAATGGTAACGTAACTGATGGTGACGTGAGATCGGTGACACGTGCTGAAATTGTCATTAGTTGAGGGAAAATGTAGCTGGGTGACAGAAAAGGGGAAAAGTGTTACTAATTGACGACGCTGTAGGAGTAACCTTTTATCACGTGACATGCATGGTATCGTATCGACGGTCGCGATTTGATCCTAAGATTGATACTTTGTAGTGGGCCCACGGAAGTATATCCCTATTCTGAAATCTGATTGTATTATCTTTTCCTAAACTAGGTGTTAGACCTGTCCGATGGACGGGGAAGGCATATACATTTAGACATTTTTATATAAATTTTGTATTTTTATAAAATATGTAATGATTTCAGTTTTAAACATGATTACCTCTGGGTTTACAGGAATTTGTTTTTTTAAATGACATTTTAAATTCACTGGTGACAAGGTTTATGCAGATCTCTCTAAAATTTGTTAGGATTTGGTACTCTCTCCAATCAATTTCTGTGTAAGGATTTGGTTCATGAAAATAAGGGTTCGGTTTTTATATTATTTTTTTAAAAAAAAATATTTTAGTTGCTTTTTTTTTTGTTTTATTATTTTGTTTTGTGCATTTTTAAGTCTAAAAAATTAATAAAATGCCACATAGGGTTAAATCCTATGTGACATGTGCTCCATACCTTTAGTTTTCTCTCTCTGATTTTTGTCTTAGTATAGTATATAGATAGATATAGCTTCAGCAGATTTAAAGGGTTAATATCAAAAACACCTTCGAATTTAACTTATTACGTAAATTGCACTTACTGTTTAAGAAAATATTAAAAACATCCTTAAATCTGCAAGTCAATTATCAAAAGGGTCTCTTGGCGACTAAAAATTAATGTTTGCACATGTTTGATAATCAATTAAACTTTAGAGGTGTTTTTTACATTTACCATTAAAAAAAATGTAAACCATGCATCATGGAGAGAGTACATTAGATGAAAAAAAAATCAAAATTTTAAAGTAAAAGATAGTAGAACTTATATATCAAAATGCTACTCCTCATCCCAAAATAAGTTTTTTTTTTTTTAAAAAAAAAAGGAAGTTTTTTTTAAACTTATTGAAAATTAACCCGCCTTAATTGACATAAAAAAAATTGATGGTTGAGACCAAGTTATAGAATCCAGAATATGAGATTTGCATATCAATTTAAGTTCTAGAGTTCTCTCCTTGGGAGTTTTCTCTGAGAGTTAGGTTTTTTCAAGAGTCCTTCGTGGAAGCATTCCATGGATTGATTATTCCTTTAGTTCCCTTTTCCTTTTTCTCTTTAATCTCTATTCCTGTTGTCTTTCTTTTGTTGATTATCTCTGCTCTTTCTCATCGTTCCTAATACTTTTATTTTGGCTTTTCTTTTGTTCAATAATCTTTTCTAGAGTCTGTATATCTAGTATTCTTCTTTTGTCTTGGCTTGAATATCTTTCCGCTATTTCCTTTCCTAATTTTTTAAAAATTGCTTGTTTATTTTACAAATCTTATTTGTGCAGTATACTTCGCATTAACAAACTATCCATATCCTTTGCCTACTTGCGGTTAATCTTCTACCTGTCTTGAATTGATGGCCACAGAGGAGGAATTGGAAGCCATCATTGGTCGCTTATCTTTGAGGGAGAATGAGTCTGTCCGGCATTCGACCAGTTCGTTGAGTATCACACGAATTGATCCTTTCCTTACAATTATTGGCAAACTTCATTGCCCTCATGTGGTGTCTAAGGATTCTATCGGTACTCACTGCCGGAATATTTGGTCGGTTCGCCATGGTTTTACAGTGCGACCTGTGGGGGAAAATTTAGTTCACTTCAAATCAATGATCGAATGGATAGGGCGCGAGTTTTGCATGGAGAACCTTGGTTATTGGGGCGCAAGCACCTTTTGGTTCTTAAGCCTTCCGATGATTTGAACGTGGATTTCAATCTGTGTCCTTGGTGGATTCGACTTCATCACTGTCCTATAGATTTGATGAATGAGGATTTAGCAAGGTTTGCAGGAAATCAGATTGGCCAATTCCTGGATGTTTTTCGTGATGGGGATCGAAATTGTATTGGTCGTTTTCTTCGGATTAAGGTCAATATCAACATTAAGCTTCCTTTAATGAGAATCATTCAATTTGAACATGAAGGTAAAGAAATCACAATTCCTTTGAAATATGAGCGACTTCCAGAATTCTGTTATCACTGCGGTATTATCGGTCATATTGAGAGTGGTTGTCCAACCCGATCTCCCGGTGCCGGATCTTCTTCGGTGCCACCGCAGTACGGCAATTGGCTCAAAGCAACGGGTTACTGGAATCCGTTTGTGTCACGCCGTCCAGCTCAAGAACCTCATCCCTTCCACGTCCCAGATGATTCGGACGAAGAGCCAAACCCTTACCATGAACGCCAATCCCACTATGTAACTACCTTTGCCACATCTCATTCTCCACCTTCCCACGTTCCTAAAACTCAAAACCCTATAACTCTAACCTCTCTTTCTTCCTCTCAATCTCCACGTCCTGTAATCTCCCCCTCTGAATTACCAACTTCATCAGTTACTCCCCATGTCATTCAGTCTCCATTAATCCCTTCTTCTCAAACCGCCATCATGGATTGCTCGACCACACAAACATCGCCAGTTACTCATCATCCTCATCCAGCTGAAACCCTAACTCCCTCACAGCCGGAGGTAACCCTAGCTCATGTAATTTTGACTGATACCACAGAATCACAATCTCCCGCCCTCACGTCTTCTACAACTATAGTCACTCCCCAAACTTATATACCAAGAATCCCAATCCTTCTCTGAAATTATCTAAGACCCGAATTCTGCCAGGCTCATTTCTCGACCATTCAAAGTCGAACTCTTCTTCCTCCCTTCAAGTTACTACTCATGTGCTCCCCACCGAACAGTGCCCCTCTCCTATCCTACCTTCCCATGCAGCTGATCCTCTTCTTAGTTCGATTGAAAATGTTTCACCAATTCCGCCACAAACCACTTCCCCACTACCATTGTCAACTGTAATGCAATCCTCCCCGTTACCCCTCCGTAGTCCATACTTAGTTTCTGTCCCCATGACACTTGATTCTCCTGCTAAAAAGGCGGCACGTCGATTTAATTCGGCTCGTCGTCGCAATCTTCAGAATTCCCCCACAAATGCTCCCTCTTCAAAATCAGGTAAACGCAAATTTCTTCCTGATGATTTTGATGGCGAAGATCTGCAAATGGTGGATGTCGAAGTAATTGGAAAAAAGATTCGCCTTGAAATTCTGGTTCTCTCTGATCTTTCCTCCTCAACTACAATTTCTAGGGATGGCGGTGTGGCGGAGATGGGGCAATCGACCCAATCCCGCCCAGCCCAATGAGTATACTAAGTTGGAATTGCTGGGGATTGGGGAGTTCCCGGAAATTCGATGAATTGAGCAAGGTTGCTTGTGAAAAATCCCCTCATCTACTCTTTCCGTGCGAAACCAAATGCAGTCAATCTCTTATTGATCGTCTAAAAAATAAGCTCGACATGTTTGGTGTTTGTGTGGAAGCTAATGGTAATTCTGGCGGTTTGGCCATGTTGCGACGAAAAGAAATTTCAGTTAGCCTTCGTTCTTATTCTGATCGCCTTATTGATGTTACTGTTGATTTGAAAAACCATTCAATCCGTGCCACAGGTGTTTATGGACAACCGAATGTGTCTTTAAGAAGAGAATCCTGGAACCAGTTTCAATCTCTTTTTAATGAGGACAGAAAACCTTGGATTATTTTTGGCGATTTCAACGAAGTATTGAAATGGGATGAGTTCCAGGGTAGCCGGCAGAGAGCGAATTGGCAGATTGATTGTTTCCATCATGCTCTTGACCATCTTGAAGTGCAAGATATGGGTTTTACGGGCTATAAATTCACCTGGCAGAGGCTGTTGCCGCATCCCCTTACTCAAAGAGCACGTTTAGATCGATCGTTATGTAATTCCAACTTATTCTAACTCTTTCCTTGGAGTTCAGTCATCCACGTTCCCATGTTTGTGTCTGATCATATGTTGCTTCACATTCAATTGAGGGAGCGCCAGATGAACTACAATTCAGTGAGGCGTCGGAAACCATTTCGCTTTGAAGCTCATTGGGTTAAAGTCGAGGATTGTGAGAGAATAATCTAGGAGCATTCGAATTCTGACCTCAATTCCCTTGAAGATAAACTGAATCAAGTCCATGTCGACCTTCTGAACTGGAGCAAGAACACCCAATCTTCATTTGAAAAAAGAATTGACTTCCTGAAAAAAGAAGTTTTAATTCTGCAAAGGGGGACTATTGATAACAGGCAGCGTAACAAGTTGAATGTGTTTGAAAAGGAGCTGGAATTGTTACTGGAAAGAGAAAACTTGAAATGGAAACAAAGGGCAAAACAACATTGGTATAATGAGGGGGGTCGTAATACCAAGTTCTTTCATGGTTTTGCAAATAAACAGAGGTCCATTAACCACATTTCAGGTCTTAAAGACAGTTCGGGAACCATGAAGCATGCAACTCATGAATTGGAGGGTATCATAATGGACTACTATGGGTCTCTTTTTGCTTCTTCATGTCCCCTTGAATCAGAAATTCGTCAAGCAGTCAGTCGGTTAACTCCAAAGGTGACTCCGGATATGAATAGTCGATTAATGCGAACATATACGGTAGATGAGGTCGTGAAAGCTCTTAAGGAAATGGCTTCATTCAAGTCTCCTAGCCCTGATGGTATGAATCTTTTCTTTTTTAAAAAATTTTGGCATATTGTTGGCAAGGATGTCACTGATTTTGTTTTGGATTTTTTAAATTTTGGACGTTTTGATCCTCAAATGAATTACACTCATATTGTTTTGATTCCAAAAGT